AGCCATTCATAACTTAGGAAATATTTCTGTACACACTCATTCCAAAATAGGATTTGCAGGATTAGTAACAGAGTGTAAATTGCTTTTAGGTTAGTAAAAAAAATGCTCACGTAGACATTCTTGCAGATAGAAAAATGATGCATTTCCTTGCAGTTAGCAGCACTTTTGTACAAAAAAAATACAGTTTCACTGAGACTCTTGCAGCATAACAGGTTCAAATAGCATGCGCTATATCATGGTGTGACAGTACCTTTACTTTTATTTACATACTACAGCAAACTAGTTAACCTTCTTATCATTACTGTTTCGGCAACAAGTATGACACTATTTTTGCAGCTAAACCTCTAAGGGTAAACAAATTAAGACAGAAGGTAGCAGCATGTTCTGTTGTTTGTTTGTAGCAATATTTTAATTCTGCTGTACCAATTTTTGAAGAGATTCAAGTACTGCTTACCTTCTTCATCATAGTTGGACATATCATCTGCAATCATATTTCCAAAGTCTAACAAAAGATTCCAAGTATCTTTTGGAATTGATCTTTTATGATGCTCCTATAAAGGAGGAAAAATGGTACTGTTCAATCCAAACTATTTTCAAATTCCACAGTAGTATTTTATACTGACATAAACAGAAATACATGTTTTACAAGTATTTCTTCTTCTCTCTCTCTTTTTTTTTTTTTTTTAAATGAAGCTCAGAGCTTCCAAAGAAAGCTACAAAATAAATTACAACTGAAGGCGGCAAAAAAGTATAAGAAGTCTTTGACAGTCATTTATTTCTTCCTTTCTGCTTTTAGGGTATGTGTTCCTAACTTGTTATGGAAAAGAATAAACCAAATGCACTTTATACTTCTACTTAATGGCATCCATTCCAGGTTCTGAAACTGTGCAGCCACGGGTTAGCATTCTGCCACTTCAACTTGAGGCCTTTTTTCCTTATCCCTTTTTACCCACACTTACCCAGTCTCTCTTTCAACCTGTTGGTTACAGTTGCACCTTCGCTCTTCCCACTTACTCCCAGACTACCTTCTGGATCCGTCATCTCGGCCTCTCTTCAGCTATTCTCTCCTTCACCATAATGCACTACCCGCATTCGCTCCACTTCTGTCCAGTCTCCTTTTTCCCAGTCTGTCCTATTCCCCACTACCACCTCTTGTCTGATTTCATTTTTTTTTTCACAAGTCCTAGTTGCCACCCTGGCCAGTTTGAGCAGCACTCCAAGAACTTCAGTCCCAATAAGCGTTCTCTCAGCTTTTAAAATAAACACTCCCAAGAAGAGAGAGTGTGTGGGGAAACACAACTACTAAGCAGTTGTCAGCTGTAGGATCAAGTCAGACCATTCACATCTCCCTTCATCTGGTGATACTGCTGTGTTACCTGAAGATAGCAGGGGTGAGTAATAGGGAATTAAATTTCAACACCTAGTTCTGGTTTGCAGAGAAAAGTTGCAATTGCACGAAAAGACTTAATCGGTGAAGGGTTGGGTTTTTTTGTGGTTTTGGTTTTGTGTTGTGGGTTTTTTTGTTTAGTTGGTTGGGGTTTTTTTTAAGCAGTAATACTCTAAAGTATTGAGAAGAACAAACTGCATTTCAAAAATCTGGAACTTGATCAAAATGAAGTTGATGTCCAACACAACAGCAAACATGTCCTCTCACTCAAGCCAAATGTCGTATCTTGACTGCAAAAAATATGACAAGCAAACATAACTTCTGGAAAAGGTTCCTTAAAACAAACAAAAAACAAACAAAAAAACCCCTCATCCTAAAGAGTCCTAAGTTGCTTCTTTCTTAGGTTGAATTTTTTTAATCTAAACACTTCTTCTAAAGTAAACATTCAGGTTAAATATTTGTAGCAAAGCAAGACACTTTATACCAGATCATCTAGATTATTTCTTGAAGTAGGTATTTGCAGAACTGTCTGTTGTAACAAACTTGAACACGTAGCCAAGTGGGAAAAAAACGTTAGGACTTTTCTTCAGTTATTTCTATAGATCGGAATTTGGATGTGTTAAGTGTATTAAGGCAGTTAAAATGTGAACTGTTTTCACAAGTTCTCTTGATGAAACTGGTACATTATTCAGTGAATAAGTATACTGTCCAAAAATTTAGAAAAAAACTTCAGAAAATATTGCAAAAAGTATACACTTTCCCTATTAAGCATTGGTGATTATGAGACAAAATACAGAAAGACTTCTTAATTCCCCTGAACTACAGATAAAAAGATAAATTGAAAAAAAAAATCAAGAAAAACTATACATTATGTAACATTATATAAGGTATTTTCTTTGCAAGTACATAGAAATGCAAATGTAGAAACATGGATGAATGAATCAGGTCTTTAATAAGAATATTTTGCAATTTCTGAAGTTTAATTTATGCATCTTTACCTCACTGCCCACAGAATTGCAGTGGTAATAGAAAACTGTCAAGATCAGTTCACAACTATTATCTAAAAAATGAGTCAAAATAATTACTCAGACAAGAACTTTCGCTTAAAAAGAAAAGTCTCAGGTTAAGTCAGTCGTAACAGAATTGATAGTTAAAAAAGACTGAGTTTATGCATTAATACCACAAAAGGCAGAGCATGGTAAAATACATGGTTGACACCAATCACAGCTGTCTTGAGAATAAAGACAACATAGGTTCAATCTACAATCATGGCTTCATTTCATGCAGAAGCCTTCATAAGTAGGAGGATACAGGATCAAGGAAGCAGAATGCTCTATTGCTTTGCTACATCTTTTTGCGTTCTTTGCAATTAGAAAATTATATAGAGAAGATTTAATTTGGCTCGATTTAAGACTATTTTATATCAGTTTTCAAAAAGGAAAAAGTTCAAAGGAAGTATTCAGACATCCTGTCTTTTTCTCTGTTGTAAGCACACAGCCTACAAGCCAGGCTACTGTGGACTAAGATAGTCAGGAAGGAATACAGTTATGTACTTACCAACAAAAATTTATTCCAGAGATCTAGAAATTTAAACCTTCCTGACAAGACTAAATTCCAATATGCAATTGCCATTTCTAGATCTGCAACAGACAAAGCAACATGTAAATATTACAGCACATTGTATGCAATAAAACTCTTATGGTTAAACAATTTATGCTACATCCAGTATATTATGATACAAATTAATAACATTCTTTTAAAATCACCACAAAAATTATAAGGAACTGTTTTCTACTCTCACTGACCCAAAAGGCAGAAGACAAGCAGTAATGGTATAAATTGTATATTGAATACTGCAGTCATAAAGACTAAAATCTTTTTGTCACCATCCAGCAGTGCCGGATTAAAGCTACTTTCAATCTACAGAAACAGAACAAAATAGCTGTCAATAACTCTGTCTACAAATTAAAAAAAAAACAACAAAAAGATACACACAAACACAGCAAATATTGATAGAAACCCAAATATTTAAGTCTGCAGGTGCCAATTCCTGTTAATTTATTGCATTTTAGACATACTTGGCTTCAAAGGGAATTTAAGGACACGAGGGGATTAAAAAAAGATTTGTCTGGTACATGATAATTCTACAGCACCCCTTACAGCAATAATTCTCTTCTTCTGGAATCATTTAGCAGACAAACACCTACACCCAATACTGAACACATAAGCCCAAGAAAGCAGCCCTTATTCTGCACCATGACCATTGATTTGAGAGCAGAGCTCAGCTCATGCATACCAACAGGAGGATGCCGCACTGCCACACATTCAAGCGGAAAAGTAGGAGCAATATTAGATGCGGCACAAGGGTAGAAAGGATCTTTTCTTGAAGGCCTGTTTTCATTCTCAGCAACTCACAATAGCTAACGGCTTCTGTGCTTGGTCCCACAGGTAACAGCACCAAATGTATGCACACTGCTGTGCAACCACAAAATAAAGCACAGCCTTTCTTAAACTACAAGAAGATTTCAGTTTGTGCTTTCAGTGTAAAGTAAATATAAACAAAATATGAAACTTAATAGAAAGTATTGTCACAGCAGATAAGACGGAAGCTTGACCTTCACCTACAAGAAAGGAGCATGGTATTTGAAACTGTACATATCACATTACAAACCAAAGGACACCCTGTCACCTGAAATCAAGTTTCAAGTCTGAAAGAGATGTTCCAGATTTTAACATAGCCAGTTCCCTAGAGTCTGTATCATAGAGGGCTGGGGCCCAGACAAAGTGCAATAGTTAAGATGTAGAGAAATGCAGTATGCCTGTACCTAGCTATATAGACAGGGCTGCCGGTGTTTGTTTACTATGATCGGAGTGCTTTTCAGTACAGTACTTGCTTTATGCCCTAATAAAGTTCCTTCAGTCCTTCCTGTCTTTGCCACCATGCTCACTTTTCACAGAAAATAAGTAGAAGAGAATAGTTAATAGCATTTACTTGCTGTTTAGATATGCAAATTAATTATTCATATCTGTTATCCCAAACGAAAAGCAAAAGAAATGGGAAGGAAGAAACTTGAATAATCTTAAGGGTTTCTAAACTTCACAGTGAAATGACTGGCTTTGATCCCATTCACTCAGGCTTCATTACGAAGACTCAACCTTTCCAAGCCAACCTTGCAAATCTATCACACGACAACATTAAGCAAAATGCACTTTGGAGAAAAAACACTTTAATAGCAGAAAAGTTGTTATACTTCTGATGAAATATTCCCTGGAAAAAGGCAGAAGGTACAGGCAAGCAAACAAAGATGGTGAAAGGTGCCTCAAAAAAGTTAAAAGGGAAAGAAGAGGCCACACTTCCTTGGTTTATTTGGGTATGTGTCAAATTTACTATTAAGTTAAGGTGAAATTGATTATTGCAAAATTGTATTTAACACAATGCATGTGAAACACTACCTTAATTAAGTTGATACTTGAGCAGTACATTACATGTGTGTGCACATCGATTCTCCTGCACAAAGATACAGGAATTATTTCCTATAATGTGCAACAAAAGCTTATCCTGCTGAGGATGCCGCTCTGTAGTGGCTGAAACCAGTCCACGCTGGAGCTGCTCTCCCCATTAAGCACACAGAGGGAAGTCCCGATCTTGGTTAAAATTAGCTCAAAGGAAAAAAAAATTAAGTAAATCTTCATCACCTGGTTCACTGCGATCACACAAACCCATGAACTAACACAAGAGATTTGAACAAAAGGACTAGATGGGACTGTCACTTTTGGTAGTGGTGCCAGTTTATGCAATCTTAAAGTATTTGAGAAAACTAGGCCTTCAGGGGTGCTACACTCAGGGGATATGGCTACACTTTTGTTTGAAGACAATTCCGTACCTAGATTGAAAAATTTGGCACTGGAGGACAGAAAAGAGCATTTTTCTGCTTTAAAGGGAAGATCTAATTACAAAGAGTTCCAGTTCTACATTAGGATGCTGATAGTAGTATCAATAAACGGTAATGCTGTGGAGTTTGTGTATCTGCTACAATTAGTGCAGCACTAAAAGATATTAAAAAAAAAAAAAAAGGCCTTATGCCGTGGGAGTTCTGCATCCCCACAAGAAGATGCTTTTGCAAGGCATGGATTTCTTAGGCAGTCTTAGGAATACCTATTTCAATGCTGCATAGATATGAAGACACCATTACAAATAAAATAAAATCAAACTATAATTACAAAAATACGCTGGTTTTGTACCAAAAAATGTGCTTCCCACATTATAGACTAATAATGCAAGTTTTATAAACAGAAAGGAAGAGACAGATGCATGAATCTCTGGAAACTAATGCCTAAGCAAGGGCCAGTTTAGAAGAGACTTCACTGCAAACATCTATGTTCATAACCAAAACATAAAATTGCTGAATTGTTAATGTTTAAAGAACATCATAAAAATACCACATCATATACTGTACATTATACAACGGTTTGAGCTTTCCCTTCACGTAAAAATATTTTGTGTCAATATCTAGCGAGTGTTGTATGTCATGCAGCCCCTTCAGTATAATGGCTTTATAGTCGAAAGTTTTTGCATACACTGAAACAAAGCTTCAATATCTAGATATTCAGCTTTCTGGATATCTAGCCTAGTTGTGGTTACATACAGCATCTATAAAGCCTTCTGTAGTAAAACCCCAACAACCGAGTCACCTAAAAGTGATACCAATTACCATTACAAAATTATTAAAACTGAAATTACTAAAATAATTTTAAGAATATATACAATAGCTAAGTAAAACAAGTTCAAGAAGGAGGAAAAGGTTAGTAAAACAATGTTTAAATGATTTTAAACATTATTTTCCTAAATAACATTTAGTATAGTAAACATGTTTTAGTATATTTTAAAAGGAGTTCTTTACACTTTTGAATTAAACAATCAGCTTTCCACAATCAGAAGTGAAGCATTTGCATGCAGTATGATCTATTCTGAAACATTAAAGCCTCATTCTAAAATTGTTTTTAAAAAATCCTCAGCCTCTTCTACCCTGATTGAACAGAAAGCTTGAAGTGATAACAAATTAGCACAATTAATGCAGGAGAAATACATTATCAGTTAGACAGCCTGTGTCTACTTTCAAGATTTGATCAAATGCTTATCATCTTGTTAACCAAAAAAAAAACAACCCAAAAACCATTACCAGATTCTTGCATGAATTAAAAAAAAAAAAAAAAAAAATCAAATTAAGTTCCTCATCCCTTTGCTATGATTTTGGACAAGGACAATGAGGTCATTGCACACAAGTAATCAAGGAAGTGAGAAAACAGAAAGATAAATCAACAGATAGCACGGAATTGGCTGGAGAGTAGGATTTATGAGGAACATGAAATGAAGTTCATTTAGACCTGCAGTGCCAAAACAGCACTCTGGGACTGCAGCACTCACTTGTCATCCTCTGCCAAATAGAGCTTTCCAGCTCTCAGACTGCCCTACCAACAGAGCTGTTCATGCAGTCATGTCTGAAGCTGTCAGAATATTAAAACTAATTCACCCAAATTACTGATATAACTTAAAAGAAAAAAAAAAGCTAAAAGGCATTACATTGGCCTCCTAATGACATTTTAAAATCTTTAAGTTATTTATAAGAATACTTTAATATTAGCCACTGTTGCCCTCATAATTCCTAGTTAGCATATTAACTAGCTTCTGTACATTATGATGGCAGCAGAGTCTATCATGTTTTAAAGCTTGGAAAAAAATAATTTATTTTAATTTCATCTTTTGAGATTAATGGATTGTCCCAGTATTGCCTTTTTCTTCCTTTATTGATGTTTAATCTTCTTATCAATATTGTAAAGCTTTGCTACAATATATGTCATCTCTAGGAGACTTTGGGCAGCTTGTTATAAGTGTCAGTGCTCACCAATGAGTTTTATTCAAAGAATATTCTATCAAACTACATGGGCAGCATTTTTTTTCCCCTCAAAATAACAGGATGCATCAGCCTTACCCAGCCCATCTACAGACACAAACCAACAAATTAATAAAGAATGTAACAAAGCTTGTAGGAGAAAAAAGTTACTTTTATTAGACCAGTTAATAAGAGGCGGGGGAAGGTTTTGGAAAAGAAAATTTCAGAGCCAAGAGCCCCTTTGTTTGAGGCTTTCTCTCCCCAATGCTTTAACCAAAACTTACTCCATAACTTTGAAAAAAAAAGAGTAGCCAACAAACTCTCCTGTTCCCAACACTGCATAAAAAAATAATCTGGACAGGTGCAAGACACAAATCTATTTTATCATTCAATTACCTTGTAAAAATATGTCATATAATTTGCCCTAAAGTATCATTTGCTTGATATTCTTTGATCTCCTTCTTTTCTCACTGTGATCACAGGCAAATATCATACTTCTGTAAAGCTAAAAAAACCCCTACATTGCACAAAATTATTTTGTTTCAATAAAATTCCTGGACACCATGACGAAACTGGTGCAGATGTGGCAACAGTGGAAACTGGTGTCAACCTATCTCAACAATTGGACTATCACACTACCTGACCAACAAACATCAAATGAATACTTGCAAGATTCAGTGAGTTACTTGATTCCTTGTTTCCTCATCTCTGAATGATTTTAAGAGTCTTCTTTGGCCTCCAAATTACTAAGAACATGGACACAAGAATTAGTTTCTTTCCTAATCAGAATGTTTTCTTCTTCTACAAACAAATAAAATCCACATAGCAAAATAACAAGAAAATACCATCAGGCTTCAACCTAAAAACACTTCACCAAATTGCCAAAAGTTTAGAGCAAAACAGGCCTTATCTGCAATTAGGAGCTCCCCCACAGAAGGAAGAGAGAAGGAGAAAAACAGTTAAGGGGTATGATACAAATACAGGAAGTGTCTAAACTCAGGATCCAGCTCAGCTGGATCCATTCACCCCTGCAAAGCCGCAAGCAAAGAGCTTCCCAGTGCTCTATGTTAGGGGACGTATAATGCACAGTGTCAGAGTTAAGTCCCTGTGATGGACAGGGAAGAGTGGTGAAGCACAGCATGTGGATTTCAGAAAAGCTCTGCAGGAATTGGGCAGGGTCTGACTGTGCTTATTAACTCTGTCTCAGCTTAGAAGAAGATAGCTGTCTAACCATCAACTTGAGTGCGGCCTAATAAACCTGATCGTGGCCAGTTTCAAAATCCTTCTGTCTCTGCAAATCTCTCCATGTACAATTCAGATAAACTACAACAGATGACTTAAAGTTGACTGGATATACATTTCCCAAATAAGAGCCAAACATGAGTAAAAGAATCAATGAGGCATTACTAGAATTGGCAGTTATGCCACACTTTCGCTGCTACTATTGGCCTTTTTTGATCAGAGTACCCTGTTCTATACTAAGCTTCTCTTAAATTGCTGGCATTTTCAGAAAGAAAAATGTGAACAAAAATAAAGCAAGGACCATAAACACAGACCAAGGCCATCAAAACACCTAAAATGCAGCATTTACAGACCTCTTCCAAAGTAAACATGAAATTCATTTATTGAACTCCCTCAACTTCTTCCATCCACTCACTCCTACAAACACCCTACAAATGGATCAATCTAATTCTTCATTGAAAGTGGAGGAAATCTTGATAACTAGTTGGGGGGGGGAAACAAAAGAAAAAAAAATATCCTTCCCTAATGTCTAAGTGTCTCTTCAAAGAATCTTGAGATACTGCTATGATGAAAGCCAAAGTTGATGTTGCTTCAATTAAAAAGAGCACATTATACTCATCTGCTCATAGAAGATGCAACCTCCTTGAAGTCCACATACCGGATGCAAAGATAGTCATTCTTCTGGTCTTGAGGTAATATTTGATTCAAGTCTCAATGCCCTCCTCATGTATCATCTCTTGCTTGATCCCAGGAAACTGGCAGAGAGAAGGAAGCACAACCTTTTGAGCCAGCAAGCAGGCGAAGGGACCACAAAGGAGTGATGAAGGACCAAATCTGCTTTTTCTTTCCATGTTGAAAGTCGAAGACCATGAAAGAATGCATTAAGTTCCTCCACGGTGCTGAAACAAACTGTAGTAAACTCCTGAGCATGAGGAATCTCCTGAACACGTGCTGCTGGGGCTCAAAGGGAGACCCATTAAGAGACTCACAGAAAGTATCAGGTTTTAAAAAAAAAAAAAAAAAAAAAGCTAAGACCTTGTTTTGAGCTTGAACAGTGCCCTTAGAAAGCTGAACTGCTTTGTATACAACGTGACAAAAGATCTATAACCCTATTCTTTAGTACACTTATCAACCAAGAGCTAGGATGCAAAATTTCACTCAGACTGCAGTAGAAAAACCTAAAAATTGGGAGTAGAAGGTGAGATAAACCTCTCCAAATCCGCACCATGCAAAACTTAAAGATTTATTGTACTAAATATAGTAGCGAGAACATGAGAGCGCAGACTAAACAGACAGAACCACAGTTATCCATAATAATTCTTTGTAAAAGTCTCCTGGCAAACCAGACCTTAATAAACTGCACCTTTTACATTACCTCAGAACATATACAGAACACTCAGATGAAGTTTTATATATCTAAATTTTATGCCTGCCATGTCCCATACGCAGCCATTGAGATGGCACTGCTGTGTTGAAACCTTGCTATCTTTTTTCCCCGAATTCTGTCCACCACTTAGAGAACAATAGTCTTAACAGTTATAAGCATCCATCTTTTTCTTAGATAATAATCAAATTTATTCAGGTGTATTTGAAAGACATTTGGCAGTTGGGTCCTGACTAATGTTAACCAGAACATCATTTTCTGCTTAAAGAAAATCATGGTAAATCTTATGCAATATGCTTTTGCCTCCTGCATCTCACTACTTAGATGAGCTATCACCTAGGGGTACTGGTACTGCTTTTACTTCTTTAAACAGCATGTGTCCAGACTGAAGCATATTACTTGACAACATTAAGCTAATAAAAGCAAATGGAAACATTCAAGTTGGATGAGACTACAGAGACAGAAGTCCTGCAGATATAAAGAGAAATAAAAGTTCCCTAGTATCACTGCATGAACTGTGGAAAAAAGATTCCTATAAAAGGCAGTCCTATTTCTAGGAATGAGTATCGGTGTACTGAACTCTGTGCGTATTTTCGGGAATGACAGAATAGATGTAACTTAATTTATTGGAGACAATTCTTCCCATCTAATTACATAAAGGCAGAATTTCTTGCATTGGTTTTGAGGGGAACTGTAGAAGAAACTAAAAAAGCAACGGAAGATAGGCTGTTCTAAAAATAAATACAACACAAAACTGCACACACACACACACCTCCCTCCGGACTGCTTTCCTGGAGAAAAGCCCACTGCATCGTGAAGACAACTGTGTCAGGTATCACCAAAATTCTTCTATCGCTAAAAAAACTTCTAAGGGCTTCTGTGCCTTTCCACTCCCTCCCTTACAAATGGCAGCTGGTGTAATAACAGGTACTATACATCCTGCTGATACCTCCCGAAAGAGAAATGTTTGGGATACACAGAGATTTTTTTCAAAGATATGCTCCAGGCAAAAAGGTCCAATGAAAACTGACAGTAATCTCAGAAACAACTTCTAGAAATTCAGCCTGAAAGCGCTGGTGCCCAAAGCGGAGCTAGACATGGTGAAATTCATCTCAGTATGCTGAAGCAACTTCAAACTGCTGCCTACCATCTTTGAGACTTCATAGAGGTCAAAGGAGGTTCTAGAAGAACCTCAGTGGTTCTCTGCCAAACTGGGAGAAAGTAACTCGTCCAAGGGGGTCAGTCCTGTAGCTAACACTATCCAATACTCAAGTATCTCAGATAATACAAGAAAGAAAAACTTTTATGAAATCTGCAACTTATACAAAGCCTGGAAAAAGTGTAGCATGGTAGAGGGCAGGATTAGAATTCAAAATTATTTGGACAAATCTGAAAACTTGGAAGGAAGTAAGAAAGATTTCATTAAAGAGAAATACAAAGTCATATAGCTAGTGGGAATAATCGACTGCAGAAATACAAGATCAGAATTAACTGAGTGCATTGCAGTTCTGCAGAAACCCAGTAATGTAACAGATCACAAACTGCAGACAGTATCAGTGTTATAAACATATGCAGACTTAATAATGGGATGTAAAACAAGGAGCAAAATATTTAAGGCACATAGTAGATATCTAGCTTGTTTGGGTACTACAAGACAAGAGAAAGTTAGATTAATTGGATTGCAAAGGAAAAGAGAGTTGGAAAATAAAATTTATCAGGGTAATTGGTTTTACTCAGTCTAGAGACTAAGGGAAGACGCATACATAGTTGACAAATTTGTAAAAAGTTGTTACTAACCCTAAGAAAACATGTATTCTGCATATTTACTTTGGATGGGTAAGTACTGAACTGAAGAATCCGGGAACAGAGATTTAAGTTATATGCGAGAAAAAGAAAAAAAAATAAATCTAAGAATAGGTTTGAGCAAGCACGGACATCGAGGTATGAGACCTGCCATCGGAAATTTAAGATTATATTATGTGAAGGCAGTGGCTCCCAAACTTTTTCAGCCAGAGGACCACTGCCAATCAGATCTCAAACCTTGCTGATAACTACTGCAACTGAAAAGGCAAGTTAGTATATATTGCTAGCACATCACCGAACATTTGGTTAGAAAAACATCTGTGAGGAATGGTTTTGGTAGATGTTGATCCTGTCTGGCACAAGGGAATACACTATATAAGTGTTTCTCTATCTTTTAGATTTAAAGACCACCTGGCATATTAAAAAGGAACCCATGAATCACTGTGTTTCCTGATGTTCTTCAGGGGGAGATGGGGCAAAAAATAAAGTAATAACTGCTGCTTAACACTTCTTAAAACAGCAGAAATAAATTTAAAAAAAAAGTAATCTGAAACATTAAAATACTGATAGAGCAATGCACATGACTCACAACCAAAGCATCGCTGTTTGGACATTTTAGAGGTATTTCAGTAATTTCTTATAGTTTCAATATGTTAAGATAATAAACATGAAAAATAATTGCATAAATGAGTTGTCTTTGCCTATCAGACATTTTTCTGGCGAGCTCTATTCTCAAGAGTTATTTCTGTTAAAAAAAAAAAAAAAGATGCGTTAGCACTTAGCCTGAAGTGCTCCTCCAACAGAAGGACCATTTTAATTATGTCTTCTTTTATAAAAAGTTTTTATTAACGATCTGCTAAGAACAAGAATTTCCCATTTGTCACTGGCACTATGTCAAATTTGCCTAGTTTTCAAATAGGCATATTCATAGGTCATGTGTATACCTGAGAATCAAGCAGTATTCTTTTAGTCTACAGATCACCCCCCTAAACAATGAGTGCAACAACTACCAGACTTGGTGATTTAAGCTCCGAGTGTAATAAGAGGAAGCATGGGATACTTCACACCCCAGAAAAATCACATTAAACTATTTTGTAATTGAAAGTCAGGAAAGAATTCTTTTGATTATTTCCACTTCATTAATTAAAATCATTCACTTTTATCCCTACTTGACATAAACTTACTGACCTCTTCGTCTTCAAGTCATAATTCAAAAGTGAAGGTATGGGAATGAGTAGGCAAGCACTGTCATGGGAGCATGTCACCAGAAACATTTTAAGGCAAGCAGCTAGGGCAGTAGCTTAGCAGCATCCTATACTTAGGTAGCACTTCACGTCATCTAACACGCACGTGGGGAAGAAGGGGAGGTCAACACCCTAAGATGACCGAGACAGAGCTAGGCAGAGATTTATACCAGCTCATTTGGTAACAAATCTAATTATACATTCTGTTTAACTATCTGGACTGAATTCATAAAAGCATCCTGAGCCAAGGCTCCAAACTTACTGAGAGAAACAGACTTTGTACATGTATGAGATAAGCTCCTGCATCTCCTTGACAATAGGGCACACAGTCCTTGGGACACAAATACCAAACACTTCTACGTTAGTTGTGGAGCGTGGGGGGGAAGATGGACAGTTTCTCATTCTAGGAGAAAATACATAGTGTATACAGAGAAGAGGATTTAAAATAAAAAAAGCACCTAAGCCTATATTAAACGTAGCTGAACCCACTAGAATTCTCAGCTCATACAGACACTCCTGTAAGATAACTAACTGAATTTTTTTCCTCGCTGAACACTTTTTTACTGAAAGAGAACAAACATAACTTTTAGAATAACTGCAGCAGGAAGCAGTACGTTGCAAACGCCAGCCTGTAAACTTATTTTTTTCCTCCATCACTCTACATTCCCCGACAAGATTCCAACTCCAAACCTATACAGTGTTAATTTTTATTTGGATAAGCCATCACTGACCACAATCACTCAAAAATGTCATATTAGCCAATATGCTTGCTCAGCACTCTCCTTGTACTCGACCTATAGCGATCCAAGTTCACACCAGACAGAAATATGGTCTATCTCCACTGAAATAAGAGCAGTGGCACCTGCTTATATTTATTTGATATCTAGAATCATCTTAGCAAAACCAGAAAAAGTCTGACGAAAAATGATACCAAAATACTGCCATGTAAGAACTAAGCACTACTTGAAATCAAGAAACAGTAAGGTATTACCAGAATTATTAAAATTCCTGAAAACTAAAATCAGCAACAGTTCCAATCAACTCTTTCTACAGTTTATTTTAAGCTTAACTTTAATTTTTGCACTTCTTACTGTCTCCTGCTAATACTTCAACTCTTAGTGCAAGGAGGCACTTAGGCATCTTATTGCCAAAAAGTACCATTCTTACACAACAGAGAAGACAGACTTACAAATGAAAGGGCCTCCATACCAAATAAACAGAAGTAATGGAAAACAAGTAAGTTTCCTTCTTCCTCCTCACGTCAAATAAATAGTACATTCAGTTCCATAATCTGGGTTGGGCTGCCTTCCCTTCTCCTCTCTTTGTACAGGCGTAGGTGAAAAGCTTTTGAGACCTATTTCCCAAGTACATGAGTTTCACGTTGGAACTGATCCAATTAAAACAGGAAGCCATTTGTAATATTTCTTTAGGTATCCCATAAATTCCAACCTCAGCTGTAACTGACTTACCTTTTCCACAATCTGAAAGTACTAGGTTTTTTAATGAAGAGGGGCAAGAAAATGAACAACTACTAAGAGACTTGAATTCCAACCAGCCTCACAGAACCACTAAAAGACTATTTCATTTTTGTGTCTGTAAAGGTGGCATGTGACCCATGCAAGAATGACACATGTAATGAAAAACGAAATGGCTGCAAAAAATAAAGAAAAACGGAAACTGGCTAAAAGTTGCCAACAGTTTAAAAAAGGAAAAAAAAAAAAAAAGACACTGGGAAAGGCAAGAGATAGTATTCAAAGTCATTCCCAAGAAAGTATGTGGAACAGATGCCTCTAGTTGAGAAGGTGTAAATCAATATTCTGCTACTTCACCTCACTAGTCTTCCAACAATTTTTGAGAAAAAGAATTTATTAACGTGCTTGCCAAGTAATGTAGACACAGAGTTAAAGTGGCTATGCTAAAAAAAAACCCACTTCCTCTTACCCACAGCACAAAGAGAACAGTGACGATGGTACGGTGCTATTCTACACACAAAACAGTTTAATTCCTTCCTACACAGTGTCTTTTGAAAGTGGACATAAATGTCAAAGGATATCAGATTTCATCTTACAATTTGTTTCACCTATTCACAAACTATAGATTTTTTTGATTTGAAGAGAATAAACCATTGGAATGTAAATAATGTATCCATTTTACTCCAGCAATACAAGGCATTGATTGGGACAAATGTCAAACTTTATAAAGAATAATAATTTAATACTTTATAAACTGTATGCCTATTTCTATTCACTAGCTTTGAACCAAGTCCATAATACTCTTTTGCTAAACTTTACATAAAAACTGTGAGCTAAAACTAAAAATTCTTAGAAGAACGATAACTCTTGCCCAGAGTTTTGTCCCTCTTTTTAAGCTGATATGGACATCTTGTTTCAGTTGTTCTGAACAAAATGGAAAACACAAGGAGCTCACTAGCTCAGTCTTTTTAAAAAAAAAAAAAAAAAAATTTCTGACAGGTCTGTAAGAACCGCAGGAACTTCCTTTGACAAGAGAAGAGAGAATGCCAATACTAGTAGAAAACCCCATTAAATTATCTGTACCAAGGGGACATTAAAGAAGAGATTAACTGAAAGAAGATGGGAAAGAGGAGAAGTCAGTGAAAGAAATCAATAATGAATTTACTATACAATCATCAGTGAGAAAACTGTATTATTGAAAGTATTTGGAATTGACTTCACTGACTGTAGATATTTTCTAGATTTTTTTTCTACTTACCTAGACCTTTTTGTCCAGGGTTTTTAGCAAAGTTAAAAGTAAACTGATAAAAATCTTTGAACTTTGTTGGATCCTTTAGCTCTTGTTCCAGTCTTGGCAATAAAGCTTTTAGTTTTTCTGTGGTGTCACACCTGTTCAAAAGAAGTTACATTATTTGTAAAATATTTAAGATTTCATTTTACTTTTTTATTCCCCCTTCTTTTTTTTATTTTTTAAGCTTTAGTTTCAGAGCAAAATAAAACAGTAGTTAAGATAAAAAACAGAGTATCTTTCTGGATAGCATTCTTAAAAATACAAACACTCATTTGTCTTTACTAAACAATTTTAAGTGGAACATTATTTATAGGCATCCATTAAGTATACAAACCAAACAGGATTCAGTGGTTTAACGTCTTTTCTCAGCCTCTTCATGAGTTTCTGAACTCAAACAATAGAAGTTATTCTATTCTTAAAGAACATATAAACCTCACCGAAATCTGCTATCCTTTCCCCTTTTATAGCTGTTGTAACACAAGGGTGTGGGTTTTTGCTTTAATCTAGATACACATTACTTATTCCCTACTCTACCTCAATGAAGAGCTGCGTACTACGTTTACAGTTAACATTAGAGGACTTTCCAACAAAACAAACTATTATTTGCAGTCATCCTCTCCCCACCATAGAATGCTTGCAGATAAAACCTAGGGAAAAAACGAGCCTTTGACGATAGCTTGAAGGCTGACAAACCGTTTAACAGCCTGCCACAGGTAAGCTAAGATAGAATCAAGTTACTGAGATTCTAACAGAAATAACATCCCTTAATAACAGAAGGCTGGAGCATTTTCAGTGAGAGCACCTGAGCTGACAAGATGCAATTTTAAAAGAAAAAGGGTTTCCCTCACGCCAAGGAATCAAATGAATATTCAAGGTTTATAGGGTATTACCAATATTTTGAATTGTACCTAGAAAGTCAAAGTGAAGGAAAGAGGTTTCAAAGAAGCAGCTATCATAACTAACACCTTGCATTTGAAAGTTCTCAGTAGCTAAATGTTTTATTTTTTTAATTCTAAAGATTCAAGAATAATTTTATTAAAGGATGGATAACTACAGCAAAATCCATAAAATGTAGATGCAGTTTTAACTGCCTGGCACAGTACAGATAGAAATAAGTACCTTTTTGGCCTCCAGCAGTACCTGGTGGAGAAAAGAAAGAATTCTGCCAACAGTCTTCAACTGGGAACTTCAGTTTCATGGAGACTTGATCTAGTTAACAATAGGGACAAATATCCTACCTTCCCATAAGTATCCTAAAGGCGCTATATGAACTAAGCCTCAGGGAATTTGTCTTCATTCAAATCTTCACCTACTTTCAATGCTAAAAACCACAGACACTGCACCTCAGTATGTAACAAAATCGTTCCAAATTCTCAATAAGCACCATACCAGTGGCAAGCAGGTATGATCAGATTATGCTCCCAAGAACACAACAATAATGCGTGCTGTGGTAAACAACCACAAAGAGGTAAAAATCACAGACCTCTGTGGAACTGTATCAGAGACAGTCATGAGGACATAGGAGTAAGGTGACAATAAAGTTACAAAAAAAAAAAAATCCAAGCCAGAAGCCACAGGTGGTTTAGCAAAATCTTTTTAATCAGTTATATCAAATAATGCTGGCAACCTTTAATATAACAGCATGAGCACTTGGTTGCTGTCCATGGCTAGAAAAATCATAACAACTCTTACAGTCTGTACCCAAAGCTACCCAAAGGGACGAAATAAAGCAGTGCACTTCAGGTGATATCCAAAGTTACTTCATCACAATTTCTGAATATCCTTACCTAAAAAGGAAAGCTTAGAAAGAAGTTGATAACTGATGAGGTCAGTAACAACAGACTGCTAGGACCCCTGCTCAAGAAACAACCACCACATTTGCGAGAAGTTGGTCTATTGTAGAAAGGTATTGATAAGGTGCCGTTCTAAGATCAAATGAAATTATTTAGCTACAAAACATATGCGCAAGTAATAAACTGTAATTCTCCACCTATCTAATGCAATCTGCTTAAAAAAAAAATCATTTTGACACCTCCATATATTAGAAATACCGCATCTCTTCCAAGGAAAGGTTATACACAAAATATTATTTTATGGTGATAAATGCTTGACTTTATTGCTAAACAGAGGCAATGTGGTTTAACCTCAAAGTCTATTATCCAGAATAGCTCCATAATCCAGGAAGGAAAAAAATTTTTATCAGTTCCATCACAGTCAGACTAAACAACCTTTTCTAGTACCAATACCCTCATTTTTATTTCAATTTCTTATAGATATTCTGTACAAATTAAGTATCTAGTATACAAGGCAATAAGAGAAAACTATGGTTTGTAAAACCGGTAAGAAGAAAAAAAAGTTGCATTTGGTGGTGATAAGGTAAAGGGAAAGAATTGAAGGTTCTTTTCTGCTTTCCTATTTCTTTTCCGCTTCAACACTGACGGAACTTTTTTTTTTCCCTTCATACATCTCCAGTGACTTCCAGCTTTTAACAGCATATGGTCCAACTCAAAATCTTAACACAACCATGCATATGTTTGTATGAATTACACGAAGAGATTAGCATATCTGCCTGTTTTCCTTGCTGTACAGGTAGGAATTATTTTGCTTCACCCTTACTGCGGTCATTGTTAAGGCTTTGCAGTAAAGCACCAATTTAAGGAAGATGGGACACTATTTAGCACCTGTTAAGCTTGGCATCAGCCTTACCAGCTTTTTGAAGCTTCACACTCAATTTAATTAAAAATGTTTTAAACGTAAACCGAGCTCAGGCCTTACATTTTGCACTATGCAGAAATGGATACTTACCCCAACTCTGTCATGCCATCAACAAATTCCTTTTTACTGAATTCACATTGAGTAGCTGCCCTGAACTTCCATGCTACAACCAGAACACTGATACTGGCTGGGTCCAGGCTTAGATCATCACAGAACTGTTGAATCCCATCAATGCCAATTTTATTTTCATCTTGTGGGTCTGCAGTTCAAAATACAGACAGGAGAATTATAATTACTTACAAAAAAAATTTACAAATAATCATCTGTACAGCTTTGATATGCTGCATAACACAGGTCTTCCTTTTTTCATAAGCTTCACAAGTGTCTTCACTTGAAATCTAGTTAATTTTAGAAGTACCTTGAAGAGTATCTGTAAATAGATTAAGTATTCTGCAAACTTCCCTAGAAATTGGTTGGCAACTTTTTCCTAAATTCATCAGCTAATGTCAATGAAATAGTTTTGTCTTCTCTCCACAATGCTCTACGAAAGATCTGAATTAACTGAGGAGATGCCTGACCACATCTAAAAACAGTAAGGCTGATGAACACATCAAAATGTACAATATATTTATTGGTTAGCATGTATTAAACTTTAAAAGAAAAAACAAACAAACAAACAAAACCCAACAAAAACACACCTACCAAGTAAGCCTGTGGATTTTTTTCCTGATAGGGACATATGATAATCCACTATAACTCTTTAAAGACCACAATTAACTTAAACATTTTTGGTTTTTAATTACAAGTCAAGGAAATCACCAAAACATTGCTCAAACAATGCCTTAGCATAACAGAGTCTTAAGCTAAACAATACAACTTAGGAAATATTATGTTTCAGTAGCACTACGTTTACTACCTTTTTGGACATCAGAACGACACTTTGTAACTACCTACATCAGGGTAGATGTCATTGTAACAATTCTGTAACTGTAACAAAATTCTCTCAGAAAAAACCCCCTCAAACCAGCAAGCAAAACCTCCTGCATGTAAACTCCAATAATTGGAGGGGGAAAAAACCCCAAACAACAACAACAAAACCCCCCACCTTTAGTTTTCAAAGCTTGACAGTTTACAAACTACAAAACTGTCTTTCCCAGCTTTTGATAGGAAGACGTTTCAGTATTGTAAGTTGGGCTATGAAGAGAAGAATCTTAAATTTACTTGAGGGATAAACTCCTTAAACTGGTAAGATTATCAATCATGCTATTTTTTAAGTCCTTATCCAATGAGTTCATTAAAAAAAAAATTAAAAATCAAGTCTGAAGAAAACTTTCCATTTTTTGTAGGGGGGGATGTTAAGCTAAGACCTCTTCCACTTTTCCAGCCAATACAGTGGAATAAATGCTAAAATGTAGAGACAAAGTTGATTTAGCAAAGATTTATATCCATTAAACAAAGAATTACACCCATGGTGTAATTCAGGGACCTTTGAGCAGGAATAACAAGTAAACATATCTATTCTACTATATGCCAGATCTAGTTCTAAGATATGTAAAATGCATTTCTTGTATATTTGGGGAGTAACTGAAGAACTGAAAGCAAAAAGCGCACTAGCGTTGAAGTCTAGCGGGAAAAATTCTGATGGATTTCAACAAGGACTGTTTCATCCTTATCATGTTTCACGTCATCCAGGTAACTAGGAACAAAAATGAAATTGTTGTTTTGATAGAGTTGCTGGATAAACAGGTAAGAAAACTAACACAAAGCACAGAAAATGAAAGACCTCTCATCGCAGATTTCAAATATAGCGCAATGTATGTAGCATTCTATAGGCCCCGTAGGACAAAGGAATTCCTTGATGTTGAGAGGCCAATGACTCAGGTTTAAGCTACGTATGAAAAAAGGAAAGGTGCTTAACCAAACCTTTTATTGTTTTCTCTCAAATCTTGTGAAGGTTTTGTTCAAGGTTACAACTTTACTTAAGTGTTAAAGTGCTAGAAGTGCAAAGGTGTGCTGCTAACCAAAACATGGACATAAAACTAACTAGACTTTCTTTCACAAAAGCCAAGTGGTGCAGTTTGCAACTGCTAGAAAATTATGAATAATAAATAACATTTGTGAATTTTTTTTTTCATTTTGGATATTCTTAGTAGCACTTAGGAATTTGTATATATTTTTGACCCAGCAATCTCTAAGACTGGCATGCAAGGAGCAAGCAAAAGGTTTAGATATGTATATATGTTTTATATATACACATATATATATAAAAAACAAATCAAAAAAGTGATTCTCTAGTTAAGATTTTTTTTTCCGCAAACGAAACACTATAGTGTTGCTGATTCTTTGTCCCTACACAATTCTTTACCACATAATAATGAAATATTGAAGAATGTCTATACTTAAAATAAAACACATTATGTAAAGAGTAACAAAAAAAGGTGGAAGCAATATCATAAGAACAGGATGAAGTGTATATAAAGCATGCCATAGAGCACAATTAGAAAAGTACATAAAATCATAGCTGAGTAATTGTTAAGAGCTCATTTTTTAAAACACCAGATGTATGGATCTCAGCAGGGGCCGGTAATGATTCTAGCCCACCCTGCTCTAACGCGTAGTGAACAACGCACGCATTCGTGTCAGATGGCCACATTTCAGAAAGCACTGTTACCTGGATCACGTACATTCTTACATTTACATGACTATCTTTTCCTTTTATTTTTTTTCTGTTCTTTTTAACAATGCTGTAAAATAAAAATAAACGGTAAAGAAACAACTCTGCCTTTAATCCGCTTCCCTGTGGTTTTCCCTCCAAGCCTCTCTGAACAGGCACATAACTTTTGCTGTAATACGCCAACACAAAGAATAAATGAAGGATGGAGTTTCTGTGACCAGTTTTTGGGTTTTCTTATTTGACTGTTTGGTCAGACTCCTAGCTGTAATGTTATCTGAAACGTTTTTTATTTTAACGTATAGAAACACTACTATCTTTGAACAAAATTAACTCCCCCAAATATTAGTATAAGAATCATATGTATTATTTCGCCACACAAAGTATGTTGTACGTATATTTAACAGCAGCCACTGGCAATAAATCAAGTAAGTTGCATAACAAGCTCTACTCTCCTCTCCACCATATGTAGCTGACACTATTTCCTCACGATAGGCTTACTTTCCTATTGTGAATTTACTTTGAGCTCTACAGGAATATCTACAGAAGTTGTGTACCGAACATTAAGAGCATTTAAAACCTTTTTCATTCTTATCTCACTACGGCAAACACAGAGTGAGAAGCAAAAGCTAGCAATCTTTCCTTAAAAATCCTTAATGGCAGAGGGAAAAGCAGAAATACCACCCAAACAAAATAATTAGAAAAAAAACCAAAACCCACAACAAAAAACCAAGCCTTACCTTTGTATCGATTATACAATTGTTCTAATTTCTTCCTGTCTACTGAATTTTTCATGGATTCTTTGTAGTACAAGTCTGGGTTCTGGAAGTAGTTGTCTGTTGCCACTTCTAGTTTCCATTCATTCTGCATTAAGCAGTATATAGCAGTCCTTTCACCAGCCTGGGTAAATGCCATAAACTGGCGGACCTTGTCCTTCTGAGACGATTTAAGCTTATGCTTTGGGATGCAAAAGAAGCGGGAAAGCCAATGAAGCTAATCCAGAAGTTTGTTTCAGCATTCTACTACTAACGCCTATCTTTAAAAGGTTTTAGTTTTCTTGTTGATGACAACTTTCACTTCAGAATTACAGGAAGACAAAGCCTTGTTCTTCTGCAGTTAAAAAGACAGCATTTTCTTCTGAAAATTGAAATGACAGCATCTCTATATACATTTTTAGCAGCACATATTCTGGCAGTAGTAAATTTGTATTTCTGCTTTATTGCTCACATATGCACAAGATTTTCTGTTCTGTAACAGCAGTAAACACAAGTTTCATCACATAACAATACAGTTATCTTCTGAAAATATGCCTAGTGGTTATACAAACAAGAAATTACAAAGGCGCAACTTATAGATTCTCAGATTCTGTATAAGTCCTTCATACACGGAGAAAAACTGCTCAACAGTTTTCCTAATATTTTCCTAGCAACAATGAACAACGCAAAGTAAAGGCAGAAGCATTTCTCACATTTTTATGTTAGAAACCATTGCCAAGAGAAGACATAAGACAAAAAGAAAATAGTTAAAGCAGACATGTCAGAGGTTTGCTGAATGTTACAATGAGACTACAAAGTTGCTGTAAATGTGATCTAAAACTTTAACTCTGAAAGAGATGCTCATACTATTCATATGTCAAACAACAAAACTGCCTATTATAGTGGTATACAGGAACCAGTAAGACGTTTCTCTTAATGGCAGCTAACTGCAGCAACCATATCTACACAACACCCCTAAACTTCTGGAAAACCCGAGAGGTGGGAACAGGGCTTTTATAGGGAGCAAATTTGCTATTAACATAGCTTAACATTATCCTTTACATGAAGTTGGAAGAAGAAGGAGACAGTTTAAATCAAACTCTGTTTTTTATTACATTCTGACACTTTCCAGTTTTGTTAAACCATACTTAATACATGTTCTGGGCCAACAACTAAGCTGAGAAATTTGTCTAAGTTCCTTACTACTGCTTAAATCATCAGGTATAATAGAAAATTTACTGGTCTCTTAAATATCGGGGGGAGGGACGGGGACATGGACACGACGACGACGACTGAATCCTGATTCAGTGAGCAGTAAGCAGTAAACATAGGACCATCTTTCAGTTTACTTGTTATCTCTTGTACACATATGGATGGTGACATCCTGACTACTGATGGTCCCGAGACAAAAAACACATCAGGTAAACAAGATAAGGATTTCGGCCTTTCCTACAAGATTTTTCAATTTTATATAAGCAGAAACATGTAAAGTTTCTTTTTATACAAGAAACATGTAAAGTGGGAAAAGAGCTGCAAAAATGACTACAATGTATTTTGTTAAGGAAATCCTCAATAATCCTTTGACTGCAAGCTCTGTGTAACCCCTCCTCCCCCCCCAATTTTCATTAAGGTCTAACTGTGAGAGTCTCTCTGCACCAAGATCTTCCTCAGTTACCTAAACATCTTTTCAGCAACCAGCATAGTGACGGTCACTTCAAAACAGAGGTCTCTGACAACAACTCCAAAGTAAAACCCACGTCCTCGCGTAAGTCTACTTGGGCCAGGCATTTAGGGATATTTTCTAGGTTCAGAATGAAACACCGGGTTATTTGAAGCGATCAGGGATAAGAAACACATTGGACTACCCAATCGACTACTCTGCCATGCAGCGTAGCTTCTGCCGTTCGTTGGTGTCCAACGCCCGGCGTAGCAGACAGCGGTACCTACGCTCTCCCTGCAGGGCAGGGGGGAAGGAAGGTCTGGAAGTCGCGTTTCTAGCACGACTTCTCGCTAATGGCACCCAAACAAGGAGGTGTGCTTCGCATCAAGCCACCATGAGGTCACGTTTCAGAAGCCCTCTCAAAGCGGTGGTTACATCCCCGGTCGCAAACACCAAGGAAGC